CAAATCACTTCTATTTAAAAAAAAAAACGCTCGAGACCTTATGTTTTTCACCCATTTCACTGCCCATCTCACGTTTTTGTGAGCAAAAACGCGTTCTGTATGAACGAGCCCTTAGTATTGTTTAGATCCTTGTTCTGCATGGGATTACTATCTGATTGTTAGCCATGGTTTATTTTCGGATGTCACTCACAGCTTTCAGACGCTCTCAACGCAAAAGCTTCGCGCGCTCGTGTCGTGATTATTTAGCTCCGCCCACACGGCACGCCTCCACCCGCTCGGGTTTTTCCGGAAAGACTCGGTACAGCCTATCTTTCTTTTATAAATATATTTAAACTAAAGACTTTTTGGAGATATGAAGGATGCAATACTACTCTATAGGTACTCAAGATTAACATGAGATTGAGTGAAACTGAGTGTTTCACCCCCCCTTTAAATTATATCTCAGTATGGGGGTCTTCACCATTCTTATCCAAGAATAAAAAGCCAGATACATGACAAGCCTGAGCTTTGACCATTCTTTATTAAAAAAAATATTTTACAAGTCTAACTATCGAGATTTTAAATAACTAGAGATGGAACTTTATGTACACCACATACAAACCACTGAAATCGGTTGATAAATGTAAAAACAGTTTGTTTTTATCCAGAAAAAACGCAGCTCCCCCGTTTACTTACATTTGATTACAGTGCAGTCTTGCCCTCCACAAAATGGCGGACCCGTTGACGTATCGCAGCAACGTTCCAAAGCGGCCAATAGGGCGTCTATGTAGGCCTATTTATTATGTCTATGTTCAGAACACCCCACTTGTTTTCACTTTTTTTGGATTAGCCCAACCCACTGGAGAAGAGAGACAAATAAGTGGGCTATAGAAGGTTTGATGCTGAATATTATTTATTTAATTGTGAGATCGTTTAATGGTCAACAAAGACATCGACAGTGTGGCAGCATTTTGTTAAAATTGATAACAGGAAAAAGGTCGAATGCAAAATTAGCAAGCAACAGTTTTGCCTTTCACAGCTCAACGACAAAAATAACATTATCTAAAAGCGGTAAGCTAACTTGTCTGCTTTAGGTTGCCCTGTCTGTTTTGAGTAACGTTAGGCTATATGAACATTTCAGAATTGGCATATCAGTTATGCACTTTATTTCGTTTCTGCTCTTGATCTGGTTTGTTTAATAAATATTCTTTTTTTTTATTAAAGTGGATGTGCCTTTTGTGTTTATTAAGAGTAAAAGCTTTAAGTTAATAAACATTTTTAGTCGAAAATTTCAGGACTTCAGTCGACCAAGATTTTCTTTGTTAATACATGATTAACTAACTGTATTTTTCTATGTACATTTCTGAAATGCACTTTCTGTAAAGCTGCTTTGAAACAATATGTATTGTGAAAAGCGCTATACAAATAAATTTGAATTGAATTGAGTACAGCCCTACTTCGCTTATCCCGTGCGAATGCACCACACGAAATTCAGATGTGGGTGAGTAATTTCTAATTCACACGAGGTCCCCAGAAAATACTACTAATCCCGTGCGAATAGGGCTATAGTCTATATCAGAGCAATTCTAGAACAAATATTCCTCTCACACGTTCTACATCATAACCTGTTAAGTCTTGTTGTCAAGGCAACAGCAGTAGCTCTAGGAGTCTGTGACAGCATGTGTCTGGTGTCTGGGATCAGCTTCAGGACCAAACCTGTGGAAGTGTGGTCTCACTTTCACCCATAACATCAGCAGCAGACTCATGAAATTTCCATTCACCTCTCCTCACCTTTTTTTAAATACTGAAAACACAGAATATCCCCATGACAACAAAACAATCAATATCTAATTTCCAAAGGAATGCAGAATTGATTGCTTCAAACGGGACGTGTCAGCTCACAGCTTCTCGCTGGAAGTATCAAGCCAATTAATGATGAGTAAACACAGCAAGGCCACGCATGCATAGTTAAAACTGGCTGGTCGGTCGGACGGATGGGGTTAGTGTTGTCTAAAGTACCGACTTCGGTGCTGAAATTAAAAAAATGTGACGATACGATACCAGCATTTCCCTCTAGCATTTTGAGCATTGTTGAATGGATTCTTAAACACCTCTGGTTGGCCATAGAGTGGTGCAGGTATGACATCACTTTATAGGCCAAAACACGATTTGGTTAAAGGTCTGTGGTGAACACAAGCTCAAGACTCTTACAAACTAATCTAACTCAAACGTTCTGGGAAAATGTTTTTAGATAAAAACTGAAAGAGGTGTCAGAAGCTTAGTAATGGCGACGATGAAATCATGGGACCGTGGTGTAGTTTGTTTAGCTTTTGTTTTTACTTCTGGCGACTGCATTTAGGCTTCAAAATTCATAAAAGTTGTGTATCTGTGATAATTATCTTGATGGACAAAACGTGCAAGTATCATCAAATTTTGTTGATCGCAGAGCTTGTTTTTAGCGATAATCCAAAAGGGAAAATCCAATTGGGTTTTTGTCGAGGGAACCAGCGTGATGCTAACTTGGCCTACAAAGTGACGTCAATACCTGCACCACTCTATTGCGTTCGTTCACATGCTCAACATATGTCTGTGATTGGCCATTGCGTTCAAGCGCTCAACATAGATGTCTAGAGGTGTTTAAGAAACCGTTCATCAGCGCTCAAAATGCTAGAGGGAAATGCTGGTGGTATCGTCACATTTTTTACATTTTGACAACACTAGATGCGGTCGACCAGTACACTATATTCATGCAATTACAAACTTACAGCACTTTTAATTGTGTAATAATCTGCATTACCCATTAGTCCAAGTTCAACACGTCACTAAACAGGATTATGCTGTACGTCATCAACTTTAATTATGCCAGCTGAACCAATGCCCACGTTTTTCATTAACAGAGTAAGGACAGCAGAAATTAACAAATTTTGCAGAAAACCACCATTAATTTTACTCTTTGTCTCAGACTGTCTGGAAAACAGTAGTCATCTTGCTCCTCCTTAAAACAGTATGGCATTCATGAGAGGATGATCAAGCTCTCGATTAAAGTCTGTCTGCAGGGACAGCACGAGCCTTCTGCGTCATCTTATAAATAATCCATATGGACAGACGAGCGATGAGTCACGCACACTGGTGAACCACAGGCAAACAGAAGAGCATGAGGAAAAGACTGCCAGGGATATGTTCATCTATAAACATGGATAATAGGTTTGGTTATATATAAGAGATAAATGCTCCACTGAAAACACTGTAGCAGATTCCCCCATACACTCACTGCCTGTTTGTGGAAGTGCATTATTAACATTCCACAGCTGCAGTATGTGTGGAGTCATAATGGAGCAGCTGATAAGATCCGCCGCCACTCCCATCTTCAACTTCCACAAAGTTAACATTAGTGGGTTAACACACTAATGCTAAACATTATTGGTTTCATCATGATTCATTCCAGTTACTCAAAACTTTTACATGCATTCATAAAAAAAAAAAAATCATACTTGTTCCCTAAATCATTTAGTGGCCCTTTCTGCAAGTCATCAGGAGGAAGACATTCTGTTATGAATGAGTCACTCAACAAATTTGCTAAAAACACTGAGGCGTTCCGGTCTTATTGTGCAAACAGTAAATTAATAGTATTAGTAACAGTAAATTACTTAACAGCAGTAGCTAATAAATGATTTTGTTAGCCTAAATAACTTGTGTATGCATGGAGTTGGAACACATTCATAACAGTTTCTTTTCTTGTAGTGAATGACTAAAGGCCAATCACGCCATTTATTTGTAGAGCACCTTCCTTCCAATTATCACGATCTTCGTTCACAAACGAAACGAGACTATCTAAAAATCCTATTTCAATAACTTTGGTTTACGAACGAGTTGTTCCAATTCATTAATATTCTTAATGCCCCAGTTCATTCAGATGTTTCACGAATTATTGCCTAGATGTTTTTGGTTATTTCACTCACGAAACATAACTTACATAATTTTATATAAAAAAAGAGAAGGCCGATTCATTCATAAACTAGGGCTGCATCCGAAATCGCATATGTCCCTACTTTATAGTAGGCTGGCGAGATTTTGAAGTGTGCATACGGTGAACACTTTACTGTCCCATGAAGGCAGGGGAGAGGATTTGTGAGTGGCAGTGAAGTGACGCAACTGACGCTGGTAGGTCACATGATAATGACAACATGGCTAATATAGTAAGTCCGGATTACATTCATAATACACACATTCATAGTATATCACATATGTTTTTAGCGCTAGTGAAGTACTTATTCGAAATAAGTACCTAACGTTACTCAAGGCAGTAAGCCTATGCTATTTCGGACGCTAGCTGTTTCGTTTAAAAACTAACGGCATATTCGTTCAGTGCTTTCAACCAATGAAATGCTCCTTTACAGCCCACACTCGAATACAATTGGCTCGTGCTATATAGTTGGTCTTTGATGAAGGTGTAGTGACAAATTGGGTTTGACAAATATTATGCACTAATGTGTTTTCGTACGCAATCTATAGTACGCTATGCTTATTTTAAATTAATATCATTCATACTTAGGATAATAGTTAACTGACAGTTTGGGGAGACCCGATTTATAGGGAGGACCCGATTTGTCATGACAACGGAACAGGAGTCACGCGATTCAAAAAGCAGCCACTTCTGTGAACGGAAAATACGAGTCAGTGCATGGAGGTGAACGAGACCGATTCACTCACTTAAAAAGATTCGTTCAAAAACCACAATGTCACATCAAGACGTTGGACTGTCCTTCACATACTAATAGGGAGTGCCACATTGCCAGAAAGAAACACTGTATACGGACCTAAACCAAATTCAAATATCAATATTAGACTAACGTTACACATGTTCTCCACCCACTTGCTGTAAAAGTGTACACACAGCGCCACGTTGTCAGGCTTTCGGGAATATTTTGACGCGTGTGCTGAACACATGCCATATACTTCTGATCAATAACCTTGAATATCTTATGCGTCATGAGCAAATTACAAATAAATAAATGTCGTACTTATCTGCCGTCGCTTCCTGAACGGTCTCATCTTTCTTCACTGGCTCTGTGGGTTCAATCGCACCATCGGTCTTTGTACACAGAAATCTTCTCCCAGCTAAAGGCTGAATAAAAGGTCTTCCATTGTAAACAATCTTTAATTTATATATTCTGTCATCCCGATAAGCAGCGCTGAAGCAGTACGCGTTTGGTAAAGTCTTTTTGTGCCTTATAATGTCAGAGAACGAACGCTTAGGGCTGGTTTGAATCAACTCCTTGAGCACAATTGAAGCCCTAAACTGTAACATCTCAGTCTTGTCGAGCTAAATCAGTTTAATGTCCTTATTTTGAAAAGTACTAGAAGACAACTTGTAGTTCCAGAATCAACAGCACAGTCAAATTCCACACTTTACACACCTACCAAATACTGACCGAGCCAAGAGCTTTTTAGTGACGAACACCGAGCAATGCGTTTACGGACACGCCCAGCTAACGTACTATTGGGTAACGTGCTAATGTATGCACGTATCCTCTCACATCATTGGCTGAAAAAAACATGTTTCATTTTTGATTGCCATGCATCATATCCTGCAATGACTCACTGACCCGCGTTCACGCGTTGTATGTTTTGTCTTTGACTTTGTAATGTTGCTTTTTGAGTATATAAGAATTTGAGTGAATGCTCATTATTGTTGTCCTGAAAGTGTTTGCACATTTACCTTTTTAGCATAAACTAACACAGTACTCTGGCCACCACATGTTTGAACTGTTGCCGTCTGGAGGACCCCTCAGATAACTGAACGCTATGTAAGTTCATTGTGAGTGTGCAAACTCAGCAATAAATAAATATTAATAATGCACACTTATACAAAAAATAAACAGCATTAGTTTAGGTATAAACTTCAATTTGTTTATTTATAGCTAGGTCTAATTGTCAATGCAACAAGTTTTTTTAAGTTTAAGTTTTTTCTAATATTTATATTTTATTTTATTTTAATTGAACTTTATTTTAATTACAAAAACTTGTTTTAGTTTTTAGTTTTACTTTGCAATTACAGTGTTAGTTTTACTTTGCAATAACAAAACTATGTACCTATATTTACATGATATTTGATAGAACTATACATTATATATGCTATTTATATTATATGGGAGATTAGAGTTGTTGTCACACTTTTTACTCCAGTGAATATTTCTCACGGTTGGAAAAATTACTATCTATCTAAAGCAGTACTGTTCAAAGAAACATCATTATAGCTGACATATATATGCACATAGTCTCTAATTAAATGTAAGGCCTATGTAAAAATTCCATCAACTGAGGAGTCATCCATTTTATAAGACCAAGTCCAATTCAATTAGACATAAAATCTGTTATAATGTTAAAATAAATCAATAGTCATGCTTAATGATGCAATTTTAAATTATTACCTGTAGATAATCTGATGCAAGAAAATGTACCTGGGCGAGATGTTAATATAAGATGAAACTGGGCGAGAAGCTTGCTAACAACAAAATTTGATTTATAAAATTTGATAAAACATTGGCATGTTTTAGAGAAAGATGTTTATCTCTAAGGGCTGTAAAATAAAGAGCTCAGGTCTGCATGGAGCTCAAGAAAAAACAATCACGACTGATGTTTCCATATGTAAAACACAAAGAGAGAAAATATCTGGATTCTGGTGATCGGTTCAGGTGTTGCTGTGGGGTTGTGCAACCATTCAATGACAGTTCAAGGCCCTGTTAAGCGGTCTTTATATTGGTAAACATTAGGGGGGACGCTGTAGTTGAAATAGCTTAGTTGTTTTCTTGTGCACCACAAAACAGGCCTCCAGATGCACCAATCCCATGAATATTTATGAATATTTTGCAATAAACATTAAATAGAATGTATTCTATACAATTTATGACTCGTTGCCAATAGTCATCTGTAGAGTAATGCTTCATGGAACAAGTAGTTTCCTCATAAGATAATTTTTCTTGGGAGTGGGAAAACTACTTCTGTAACTGAGGCCACAGAAAAAGTGGACAGTCACTGTTGTTGTGCTCTACTACAATCCAGCAAGTTGCAGATTTAACTCTGATTTTATCAAGATAATCATATACTATATCTGATTAATCTCTCGAGTATCCAGAAAAATAAAAGCCATTATGTTCTGTTCAGAACTATTTTATTTTCTGTGTGAGTTTGTCCTTGAGGAAAACAATATAATACGAGTCATTCAGGCCTACCCATTCTAGAAACTTCTAAACTTTTACAAGGCCTAAACCAAAGGAAAATGTAGTGTTTTACGCCTCCTATTGTCACGGTGAGGTAATTACACGAGGTCACGATTTCACTCTTGGCTTCAAAAGAAAATAATCCATTAGAGAACACGTATACAGTCTGATGCTGCCATCTTGTGGAGAATGTGTGAGAAATTGGATTGAATTGCCAAAACATAATAGCAAATATTTCAGTTCGACTGTCATATTTGTTTATTTATTCTTGAACAGTTTTCATCTAGTTATAAACAGCAAAATGTCTCTTACAACAACAACATCAAACTAGCCTAGTGTAGTGATGGTATCATCACATGGTAATATTACGGTACTTCAGTGGTATACTGTTGGTATTACCATGTCTGGAATATTTCTGAAAAGTAATTGTATTATATGTATGAAAAAAAGGGGGGACCTCTTGTATAAAATCAGTTTGACAGTGACTCAGAGGTAAAGCCTGCCATATGAAATAGCTAGACAAGCTAGACTTTTATTTAGATGACCAAACTGAGCAAAAAAAATTGCATTTTGGAGTAGTTGCTGATATTTATTTGGCCAAGATGATATTCTGATAGCTAGTAATGTAAATCAATGAGATCTAAATAACAGTATGGCAGCCTAATTACAATGCATAATATCACTTGTCACTCTATATCTCCCAATAATGTGCCTTAGTAAGATGATTATTAAATTCTTAGTTTTCACAAATTAAATTTCTGTATATAAATAATATAATATAATAAACAAAATAATAAATAAAATATAAACAGATGAAAAAACCTATACTTAAAAAAAATGTGAAATATGTTTAGGTGTACTAAATGAATTGAAAAAGCTGGTTTCTGAAACACCCAATACCGCAACTTGAACACATCATCAGTGATAAACCCTAGGACATAGGGTCTTTCTGGTCTTAGATCATCAGACACCCTCGCCTGGGTGACCCATCTGGGGTTGATCATTCCCCTCTTGATCCACAGCCACATTGAAACTTCTATGATGTTCTTGGTGACTCTTATTTCCTGCAACCCTCGAATACCGAGAAGAAGCAAACCCCCTGCAGCCCACCTCAATAGCCGCGTTTCCACTGTCGGGCCAGTGCTAGGCCAGGGCTTTAAACGGGCCGTGCCGGGCTAATAGCCTCGGGCCAGTAGCACCTGGCCTGTGTTTCCACTGTCGGGCCAGAAGCTCCACAGCGCGTCACTAAAAAACGCCCGCAACACGCCTCTCTGGAACAACGTCACACCAACCCATCATTTCACCAACAAATGGAAGTTTTATCAGAAAAATAATCAGAAAGAAATCACTGGAAACAGCGTGCATCGCAAAACAAACATGATAAAAGCGGCCGTTTGCTGGCATTTTTGTTGTTTACTTAAATATTTAAAACCCAAGCATCGATGTTTTACCACAGGTTTACAATAAAAAGTGATACATTGACCATAATTAATTAATTTATGTCAAAATTGCACATTAGTCACAGAAATAAATTACCGTTAGGTCTATTTTACAAAAGAGAGGACACACTTACATTATTCAGTCGAGGCTGTTTCTGTTTATTTGGTAGTTACAGGACGTACCATCACATTTAGAAAGAATGATAATTTCTACAAATAACGTTATATGCAATGCCACCAAAAATACGACCTGAGGAGCGTTAGCACAGTCTCGACTCCCAGTAGCTAGGCTACAGATATTTTCAGTCAGAGAAACAGGAAGCTCCCGAAAAAAAAGTAGCTTTTTTTACGTAGTCCGGTAGCCTATAAAGAGACGAGACGTAGGCCTAGTGACAGATAAAATAAAAACATGATTGTGATAGCCTTTATGATTGGTCTGACTTCTTCAAGCGTTCACCATGTTTTTTTTACTATGCGTATCTTCAAGCGTTTAATATGTTTACTATGGTAATGGTTAGCGCGCATAGTCTTTTGCATCGCGTATAAATATTTCTACCTTATACGGTGATCAGAATCCACATCGGATCACAAACAGAAGGCATTAAAACATGAAAGTGAGTTAAATTATTTTAAAAGTCTTTAATGCTGACAGAATCATTCGGCGCTCCCGTCTCTCGACTCAGGTAAACTCCGCATCTGTTCGTAACCACTCCTCTAGCCCGAGCTGGCCCGCTTTGGCCCAAGGTATTCGACGGGCCAGAAATCCTGGCCGTTGGCCCCGAGTAAGCCCCGATCAAGCCCCGGAAGTGACAGTGGAAACGCGACTGGCCCTGGCACGCACTAGCACGGCCTGGCCCTGGCCCGGCAGTGGAAACGCGGCTAATGAGCTGGCAGTGGGCCCTCCACCCATGCCTTCTACATTCCTCTGCCAGTTCGAGATACTTGGCCTTCTTGCGCTGGTGGGCCTCCTCTATCTGGACTTCCCAAGAGACAGTAAGTTCCAACATGACCTTGCTTGAAACAGTCAGATGTTAAGACCAAATCTGGCCTGAGTGTCATCCTTGCAATGTTTTCCGGATAATTTCAGCTGCTTCCCTAGACCAACCTTCAGCTGCTAATCACGAGCTGAGGCTAGCAGCCCAAAGGCTCCAGCTAAGTTTTCTCTCCCGCCCTGACAAAGGTGATGTTGTGCCTTATTGGGAGCTGGTGTTTACTCTGTTGGAGTGCGATACAGATGGTGTCAGCTACTGCCTTCAGAACCTGGTCATGACGCCACCTGTACCTCCCTTCTCCCAAGACTTTCGGGCAGCAGCTCACATAAGATGTGCTCTAAGGAACCTCTTGCCAGGCACAGAGGTCATGCTGGGGTATTAGCTAAACCCCAGCAATGCAGGTTGGCTGGGATTGGAAGGAAATCGTACACTGAATGGATCAGAAACTTGAGTCTAGCTGGTTCTGTCTTCCAAAGTTCTGCCCAGGTGATCTTACGTGCAGTTGTATGGTCCCAATTAGTCCAAGCTCCCTGCTTGCACATAGCTATTGTTACTACTGTTAGCTACTCCGACTTTCGCGTTCCTCTTCCACTTCTGCACGGACCTCTCCTTGGATCAGCTGACGTCTATCTCTCCCCCGGGCTTTGTCATAGCATAGTCTTGTGTAGTTAGACTAGTTACCAAACCCGGCTCGTCCAGCTGCCACAGAGGCTACCAACATGCCGTGTCTCAGCCAGGCTTCTGCCTGCTCAACTGCCTCCTGCGCCTGCCACTTCTTCCCAGT